TCGCTTTGTCTTCTATAGGACCCATCTGCTTTCCATTTTTTCCTATTCTTTTTTAGTCCTTGTGGGTTTATAACATTTTTTACTCATCTTCTGTAGGTTTACAGGCAGGAGCCAAGATAAGGCTCCGTGGTTAGCTGAAAACTGGGTAGTATTTTTTTCAACTTGCAACATTTTAATACCAGATGATTAGTGAATTGTTTTACAAAGCCTACCTAACACTGGTATGCTTTCTATAGTCTTTATTCATGGTTTAGAAACTATTTATCAGTAACATTTTATTTTCTCTAGCTGTTGAAGAGATTTCGTATACACTTTCTCAATTAGTAGTATGTTGCTTTTGATTCCAGGTATTTTGTGTGATTTAGCGAACAGACTCTTTTCAGTATCTAAATCATTTAGAAAGCAGTTCATAAACTTTCTCAGCATTTGGGCTTTCTCAGGGCAGATCTACATGTTAAGGAATGCATCCCCAGTGCTTTGAGGACGACGGTAGACTGCTGGTTGACTGAAAGTGTAACTAGCCACAGGCTTGCACTTCTCTGGGTGTCTTTATAATGACTTGTTCAGTAAGTTCCCAAACAATAGCCTGAGCTCATTTATCTGACTCACTGGGGAGAAGAACCAGAAAAAGATGTCAGATGCAATCCTCATAAATGATAGAAAAATATATGCATACACTGAATTATGTTGGTATAAGCATATTTTTAAAATCTTTAGACAGCATAGTGTGTGTTGAAAAGAAAATATCTCTGCCCTCTCTCCACTTTGTATAATTGTATCTGACATAGAGGTAGGTACTCTATTAATATTTATTGACTAGATTATAGGAGTTCCAACTAAAGCTTCTTGACTTTCACTGGTATACCTGACCTAACTTTCATGAACTGACTCTATCCCACCCCTCTCCAGCTTGGCTGCCTTGTTCTGCAGCCTCATTACTGTTTCATGATGAGCGTAGGCAGAGATGGTAGTTCAGTGACTATTCCATAAAATTGTAATGCATTTTTAGCATGGTTTTAAATTAAAATGTGTCGTGTAATTATTTTTAATCTCACTATAGAAATTATGCATACTTATTGTAGGAAAAGTATATCATGAAGAAAAGACCATGAAAAAGAAAATAAAATCATACGTCATCCAGAGATCACTAATATTTTGTATGTTTTCTTGTACACTTGCAGTGACTGTTAGGATTTGGTCAGGAAAATGGAAACCACTCTATGTATTCTAACAAGAAGGTATTTAATTAAAAAAAAACGAGAGACATGCAAAACCATTGGAAGATTTGGGGGATTGGAAGTAAGGAAAACTGCACTGGCTTTCAAAAAAATCATAAGTGCAAGAATCTCAGAAAGGCACCATTGATAATCTTAGCTCCCTATAATAGCACTCAAGTAAGTGATCTGCACCTTTTAAAAACAACATAAATGATTACTGTTTTGTGGAATAGACCATCAACTGCTCATATGCAAGTTCAGGCTGAAGTTGAAGAAAATGAAAACAAGTCCATGAGAACCAAAATTTGACCTTGAACATATCCCATCTGAATTTAGAGATCATCTCAAGAACAGATTTGATGCATTAGACAATAATGACTGAAGACCAGAAAAGTTTTGGGATGACATCAAGAACATCATATAGGAAGAAAGCAAAAGGTCTTCAACAAGACAAGAAAGAAGGAAATGAAGAAAATGGATGTCAGAAGAGTCTCTGAAACCTTCTCTCCAACGTAGAGATGTTAAAACAAATGGAAAAAATGAGAAAGCAAAAGAGCGGAATGGAAAGGTTCAAAGGGCAGTTCAAAAAATAAAGTCAAGTATTCTGGTAGTGTAGTGGTTATGAATCGGGTTGCGAACCGCAAGGTCAGCAGTTCAAAACTCCCAGCTGCTCCTCAGGAGAAAGATGAGGCTTTCTGCTTCCATAAAGATTTACAGCCTCGGAAACCCTGTTCAGGGTCGCTATGGGTCGGAACCGACACGACGCACTTAACAACAACACCATTATAACAATATGTGCAAAGACCTGAAGTTAGCAAACCAAAAGTAAAGAACACACTGAGCATTTCTTAAGCTGAAAGAATGAAGAAAAAAGTGAAACCTCGACTTGCAGCATTTAAGGATTCTATGAGCTCTGGTTACGAATCGGGCTGCGAACCTTAAGGTCAGAGGTTCGAAACTACCAGCCGCTCGCGGGAGAAAGATGAGGCTTTCTACTCCCATAAAGATTTACACCCTCGGAAACCCTGTACAGGGTTGCTATGGGTTGGAACCGACTCGACAGCACTTAACAACAACAACAACAACATGGGCAAAATACTGAATGATGCAGAAAGCATCAGAAGAAGATTGAAGAAATACATAGTGTCACTGTACCCAAAAGAAATGGATGATATTCAAACATTTCAAGAGATAACATATGTTCAAGAGCCAACGGTACTGAAGGAAGAAGTCCAAGGTGTGCTAAAGGCATTTGCAAAGAACAAGGCTCCAGGAATTGATGGGATACAAACTGAAATCTTTTAATAAACTGATGCAGCACTGGAGGCACTCACTCGCCTATGCCAAGAAATTTGTAAGACAACTACTTGGCCAACCGTCTAGAAGAGATCCATATTTGTGCCCATTCCAAAGAGAGGTGACACAATGGAATGTGGAAATCGTCAGACATATCATTAATATCACAGGCAAGTAAAGTATTGCTGAAAAGAATTCCCAAATGGCTGCAACAGTACCTTGAACCAGAAGTTCAAGCCAGATTCAGTTGATGACATGGAACAAGGGATATCATTGCTGATATCAGATGGATCTTGGCTGAAAGCAGAGAATACCAGAAAGACTTTTGCCTATGCTTTACTGACTAAGCAAAGGCTTGCAACTGTGTGGATCATGACAAGCTATGGACAACATTATAGAGAATGAGTATTCTGGAACACTTAATTGTACTCATGAGGAACCTGTACATAGACCAAAAGGCAGTTGTTCAAATAGAACAAGAGTACACTGAATGGCTTAAATTCAGCAAAGGTGTGTGGTGGTGCCAGGGTTGTAGTCTTTCACCATACTTATTCAGTTTGTACACTGAGGAACCTGATTATATAAAGAAGAACATGGCATCAGGATTGGAGGAAGACTCATTAACAACCTGCCTTATTCAGAATGTTACAGCTTTGCTTGCAGAAAGCGAAGGAGACTTAAAATACTTAGAAGATCGAAGACCACAGCGTTCAGTGTGGGTTGCACCTCATTGTAAAGAAAACAGAAATCCTCACACAAGCCCTAGTGTGGTGTGCAGGATAATGTTCTGGACCACAAAGTCAGTTTGAACCACAAGGTCAACAGTCAAACCTACCAGCTGCTCCTTGGAAATTCTATACAGGGTGACTATGGGATGGAACTGACTCTACAGCACTTAGCAACAACAACAACAAAGACAAATAAATAAAATCATGATAAATGGAGATAAGATTGTAGTTTTCAAAGACTTCATTTGACTTGGATCAACTATCAACACTCATGGAAGCAGCAGTCAAGAAATCAAATGATGTGTTGCATTAGGCAAATCTGCGGCACAGATTTACCATAGTTTGAGGACTAAGGTGTGCCTGACCCAGGCCATGTTTTCAGTTGTTTCATTGTTGTTGTTGTTATGTGCTGTGGAGTTGGTTCAAACTCATAGCGACCCTGTACAGCGTTTCCGAGGCTGTAAATCTTTACGGGAGCAGAAAGCTTCATCTTTCTCCCACAGAACAGTTGGTAGTTTCAAACTGCTGACCTTGCAGTTCACAGCCCTATTTGTAACGACTACGTTACCAGAGCTCCTTCAGTTTCTTCATATGCACATGAAAAGTTGGACATTGAATAAGGAAGATCGTAGATGAATTGATGCATTTGAGTTATGGCATTGGAGAAGAATACCGTGAACTGCTAGAATAAACAGATCTGTATTAGAAGAAGTACAACCAGAATGCTCCTTAGAAGCCAGGATGGTGAGAGTTTGTATCTCATACTTCAGACATATTATCAGGAGGGACCCGTCCTTGCAGAAGGACATCATGCTTGGTAAAGTGAAAGGTCAGCAGAAAAAGAGGAGGATCCCCAACGAGACTGGCACAGTGGCAGCAGCGTGGGCTCACGCTGAACAACAGCTGTGAGGATGGCGCAGGACTGGGCCTTGTTTCATTCTGCTGTGCACCTAACAAACAACAAAAGCAAACTGTCAGCGAATACATTTCTGTTTACTAAAGGCAGCCACTTGTGTTATTTCTGTGATAGCAGCACTACATAACTAAGACATATTGCATAGTCATTTAATGTTGCATGCTTAAGCATTCGGTCTCTACTACAGCCCAAGAGCAAACTAGCAGCTATTCTCAGAAAAGGAATTTAGTGAGTCTTTTATCGCAGTGTGATCAAAGCTCCACACATCGTCTATCTGCCATAGATTCTCTGAGCACCAGTGAATCTACTAAATTGTAAGGCCCAAGGGGAAGAGCTGTTTTCTCTGCAGCTCGGGCCAGATACAGAATCTTTCCTTGCTCTGGGCCCCACAAAGCTTGTAGCTCTGCAACTTCTTTGGCTTAAGATTTGGAGTATACTTCAAATGTGGTAGAAGTTACCTCCAGAATCTAAGGAAGCTTGAATCTTGAAAGTGAGCTGGTGGTACTGAAGAGCACCAGAGTACATCTGGTCTACTCTCTCTGCTTCATGTAATTGGGCGCACTCATTGCATATATAGTTTTTCACATGTAAGCATTATAAAGCCTTTGCTACTTTGTTGGCACGTCTCTAGTCTTATGAAGCACTGTCTCTGTGGTTCAACTTTTTATAGCTATAGAAACTGTTGTAAGAGTAGCTCTCTAAATACATTGGAACCTCTGTTAATAAGAATGATTGATAGTGCAATTTCTTTTAGTGGGGCCATGCATTTTATAGTGTGTATGAAAGCTTTAGTGCATGTTTTTAAACTTTAATAAGAGTTCACATTGGTGTTTGTCTGGACAGATGTGATGCCAGCATAGCCAGGCTCTCCGCAGAGCACAAAACGACCTATGAGGGGCTGCAGCATTTGAACAAGGAGCAACAAGCTGCCAAACTCATTTTGGAAACGAAAATTAAAGACGCAGAGGGACAGGTATGACCTGCTGCAAGGTAGCCTTTTAAAAGTGGTTAATTTGTTCTGAGCTAAGAATAACATGGTGTTGGTGATTTCTTACAGGAGTAACCAACTGGGGCGGCCAGCACGGGTTTCTGCAAACCAAAAGCATCTCTTTACTTTTTCCTTCGCTCATTTCTAGAGGGGCCTTTCATAAGTATGGGAACCACTTTTCCAAGTTTTTTGAGGGTATAATTCTACATCTAAAGGTTCTTTCCCCTCATTCTTACAACATGTTTTAGGAAGGTTATGGTCTTTGATCGTCAAACAATTAACATAATGCAGAAATTCTCAATTGTATCTCCAACAATATCTCTTGAGCAATAAGTGATCAACATTCTTTTACATGCCACTTGTCCCAACTTTTGGTTCAAGAAATAGTTGTATTCACTGGGACTCTTGTGGTATAGCAGCATGTAGTCTTTATGTGGGACAAAATGAGGACAAAGCTCGAAAGAAGGTAGGTTAGCTAATTCATTTTAGGGTATTCTACTTTGAAATTTATAGATTTATTTCACAAAGCAAAACCATTGATATTTTGCAACTTTCTTTTATTTTGTTGATTAGCCACTTGCAGGTTTCCCTGTCATGAAAGGACCTGTCTTATAAAACTTTTCCCCACAGAATTCGCCCAAGTTTCTATTGTTGATTTAAAGGATTCTGTGGGTGGTGTAAACAGTGAAGTGCTCAACTACTAGCCAAATGGTTAGTGGTTCAAACCCACCCCAAAGTGTCTCCAAAGACAGGCTGGGCGATCTGCTTTCGAAAGGTCACCTCCTGTGAGCTGGTTTACAATGTATACATGGGGTTGCCGTGAATTGGAATTGACTCAGTGGCAGCTGACAGCTTTCCAGTAAAATAAAGGCAACTCATTGAATTAAAAATATTTATCTTAGCTTCCTCCAATAAAGACCTGTGGCTACTTATGTGAAAAATACAGGTATAAAATCATGAATGAAAAAAAAGAGTAACAGACAAGTCTATTGATTTCTTTTATTTAATAAGGACAGAATTATTACATCAGAAAATCAAGGCTAAGGAAACTGTGAGCTTCCTGATAGTCAAGCCAAGTAAAATACATACAGAAATCCATCAAAAAAGACATTCTTATTCTTCGTTTGGGGTCTGATAAATCTCTGTTCTATAAGTCATTAAGTAAGAAACCTTGAATATCATAATTTTGCAGAAAATGTAGACATTTCATATAGGATTTGCTTTTTAAGACAATTTTTAGTTAAAAGATAAGGGAAATGGTTGAGTAATGGTTGAAAACAGTGGGAGGGAGATAAGCCATACAGTTTTCTTTTCTGAGACCTGATTTGATACTGAAGTAAATCTGGGACATTGATGGATTATGTAAGCAATGAGAATTCTCTTTCTACCATTTGATGGTAGAATTTCGAAGGTAACTATGACTGGGTTATATACTAGTTGGTAGAAGTAGTGGTCTTGGGTGGGAACTGGGCGTGCTCACCAGAAAACTGTTCACTGCTCAGTGCATGATGAATGTTTTGGCAGTGCTAATGGTGGGATCGATGGCAGTGGGTTAAAATATATGAAAGAAAATGGTGTTGGTAAGATGAGGCAAAATAATAATTTATTAAGCTAGATTGAAACTTTCATTCCACTGACTAGAATGGTGATGGTGATTGGGTACTGTCGAGGTGGTCTCAACTTGCAACAACCCTGTATAGGGTTTCTGAGGCTATACACTTTTACAGGAACAGAAAGCCTCATCTTTCTCTCATGGAACAGCTGGTAGATTTGAACTGCTGACCTTGTGGTTAGCAGCCTAAGTCATAACCCATCATATGACCAGGGCTCCTTGGTGATTAGAATATAATTTACTGGATGTTTTCTGAAATTATATCTGAAGAATTTCTATGTGATTTTTACAAGGGAGGTTTCTTTCCAGATTTCTCAGCTTTTGAGCAGAGTAGACTTATCAATATCAGAGCAAAGTACCAAACTGAAGATGTCCCACAGAGATAGTAACCACCAACTGCAACTTTTGGATACTAAGTAAGTACATTTTTTTTTTTAAATTTGTTGGTTACTCTTATTTATATGCATATTTATTACTGTAATTTTTATATCTTAGGTTTTATTTGTTACACAATGTGAAAACAATGATGAATGTTGAAAGAAATGTCCACGTAGCATGTTGCCACTTTATCTTCATTATTACTGCTTTTAGTGGTTAGACAATAATCCATATATTCATTTGACACATGCTCACTGAGCACTGGCTAAGGTGTTAAGGTTTCAGTAATAAACACAGAAAGACTCCATTCTTATCTTTGTAGAGTTCACAGTCTAAGAAGTTGTTGAACCTTATTTAAATGGCAGCTCAAATGTGTAACATGTTATTACTAACTATGATAAGTGCTTTGAAGGAAATGTACACATTATGGTAGACTGAATAACGGTCCCTCGAAGACCTCCATCTCTTAACATCCAGAATTAGTGAATATGCTAGCTGATATGACAAGAGGAACTTTGCAAATGTGATTGACGATCTTAAGGGGATATGATCCTGATTTATTTGGGTCCCTAAGGAGCTCTGGTAGCGTATTGGTTACGAATCGGGCTGCGAACCTTAAGGTCAGCGGTTCGAAACTACCAGCTGCTCCGCGGGAGAAAGATGAGGCTTTCTACTCCCGTAAGGATTTACACCCTCGGAAACCCTGTACAGGGTCGCTATGGGTCGGAACCGACTCGACGGCACTTAACAACAACAACAATATAATCACAAGGATTCTTATACTTGGGTGGTAACAGGGTCAGAGTCAGAGAGAGGGCTATGTGATGACAGCAGCAGAGACAGTCATCGCTCTGAAGATGGAGGGAAGGACCCTGAGCCCTAGGAATTCGAGTAGCTTTTAGAAGCTAGAAAACACAAGGGAATGAAATGGATTCTCTTTTAAGAGTTCCAGGAGGAGCCAGCCTTGTCATTACCTTGATTTTAGTCCAGTGCAATTTATGGCCTCCAGAACTGCAAGAGAATTGTGTTGTTGTTTGTGCTGTATTTTAAGTCACCAAGACTGTCAAAGACTGTTACAGTAGCGATAGAAAATGAATACAATAGTGCTCTGAGAGTGTCTGGCACCCTTCTGAGGAGGGATGTTTGAAGTCAGATCTACGGAATGAGTGAGATTCACTAGGTCAAGAGTGGGCGAGAACATATGGGTAGAATTGCTTGTGGTGGGAGGAACGTGGCAGACAAGAAACGAAAACATGGCCTGGGTGACTGGAACAGGGAGTGAGGGTGAAGTGGTGGGAGATGAGACTGGAGAGGAGGCGGGGTGGCTTGCAGTGCCTTGTAGCCACATTCAGGAATGTCTTCCTCCTAATAAGGGGTGCTACTCACCATAGGGTAACAGGAAGCCATGGGAGGATTTTAAGCAGATGGGATGACAAAATTCATCTATATATTATTTTTTAATGCCCTTGATTGTAGTTGGAAAATGGATTGTAAGGAGCTAAACTGGAGAGGGGAGGATCAGTTGGATGGGGGGACAAGTGGGAGAGGTCTGAATTGGAGTGATTTTGAGAGACCTAGTTAGAACATGAATTTATTATGTTGCTGTTGTTACTAAATGCTGTTGAGTCAGTTCTGACTCACAGACATCCTGTATAGGGTTTCCAAAGAGTAACTGGTGGGTTTGAACTGCTGACCTTGTGCTTCGTAGTCCAGTGCTTATCATACATCACAACACCAGCTGTGATCTAATCAGTTCTACCTCATGGTGACGCCGTGTACAGTGGAATGAAACACTGCTCCTTCACAGCCTTCACAGCCTCACAGTTGTTGCTGTGTTTGAGCCCACTGTTGCAGCCACTGTGTGAGTCCATCTCCTTGAGGGTCTTCCTCTTTTCCGCTGACCCTCTAATTTACCAAGCATGATGTCCTTTTCCAGGGACTGATCCCTCCTAATACCATGGCCAAAATGCATGAGACAAAGTCTTGGCATCCTCACGTCTAAGGAGCACTGAAGCTTCTTCAAAGTCTGATTTGTTTCTTCTTCTGGCACACCATTCTGTATTTAATATTTTTTACCAACACCATAATTCAAATACATCAGTTCTTCTTCAGACTCCCTATCCACTGTCCAGCTCTCACTCACGTACATATGAGAGGACTGAAATTACCATGGCTTGAGTCAGACACACCTTAATTTGCAAAGTGACATCTTTGCTTTTCAACACTTCAAAGAGGTGTTTTATAGTGGATTTGCCCAATGCACTGTATCAGTTGATTTCTTGACTGCTGCTTCCATGAGCATTGGTTTTGTATGCAAGTAGTATGATAGTCTTGGTAACTTCATTCTTTTCTGCGAATAATTTCAATTTTAGGGAGTTTTGTTTACTTTATGATGAAGTGTAATCTATACAGAAGACTTTGATCTTCATCAATCAGTGTTTCAAACCCTCTTCACTTTAAGCAAGCAAGTTGTGTCACCTGTGTATTACAGGGGCTGTTAATGAGTCTTCCTCAACTCCTGATGCTGTTTTCTTCTTCATATAATACAACTTCTCAACATACATATTGAGTAAGTGTGGTGAATAAGTGTGGCGACACACACTTTGCCTGATTTTAAACCATGCAGTATTCCTTGGCTCTGTTTGAATGGCTGCCTCTTGGTCTATATGCAGGTTCTGCATGGACACATTTAAGTGTTCTGGAATTCCCATTCTTCAAAGTGATATCCATAATGTGCTATGATTCACCCAATTGGATACCTTTGCTGTCAATAAAACACAAGTAATCATCTTTCTGATATTCTCCACTTTCAGCTAAGTTCTATCTGACATCAACAGTGATGCCTCTCATTACACATCTTCTTCTGAATTCTGAATTTTTGGTAGTTCCCTGTTGCTACATTGCTGCAACCATTTTCGAATGATCTTCAGCAAAACCTTACTCACATATGGTATGGTTTGATCATTTCCACATTCTGTTGGATCACCTTTCTTTGGAATGGGCACAAATATGAATCTCTTTCAGTCAACTGGCTAGGTAACTCTTCCAAATTTCGTGACATAGATGAGTGAACACTTCCAGCATTGCATCTGTTGGTTGAAAACATCTCAGTTGATATTCCATAAGTTCTTGGAGCCTTGTTTGTTACCAATACGTTCAGTACAGCTTGGGCTTCTTGTTTTAATACCGTTAGTCCTTGGTCATGTGCAACCTCCTGAAATCATTGAATTCAGTGTTTTTGTGACACTCTAAGTTTGTACTTGCCCACATTGAAGCTTAGCTACAACTTTTCTATTCAATCCCAAAGCCAAGACACCATTTCCTACAATGATTGAGCATGAGCTTAGCATTTTCCTGCAAAGGAAGAGCCAGTAACCAGAAAGGCGTAGGTATAGATGTAGGGATAGATTTGACCTTACATATATAAATTATTTTTTTCAACGATCACAATGTTTACTGATTTTGGTGTTGTTATTGTTGTTAAGTGTTGTGGAGTCGGTTCGTACTCATAACTACCCTGTATAGGGTTTCCAAAGAGCAGCTGGTGAATTTGAACTGCTGACCTTGTGATTCAAACTGGCATTGCAGTCAAGTGCTTATCCTAAAGTGCCACACCAAGACTCCATTTGATAGATGCAAGCATATAAAATCAGGGCATGAACTAGGTAGTATGTATTTTTTAAATGACTTCAGTATGGAACTTTTTAACTTTGTTAGAGTCTGTGAAAAGTTCAAATTAATCATTCTTCTGGCTCTTACATTTCATTGCCTTCCTATTTAATGTCATTTCAGGGTTGTTACTGATTAATTAGGAATTCTCGTGTAAAAATCATGTCTCCTTTCTCCTTGTTATCTGTATTTATATAACTATTGAGTTATGTTACCACCTCTCATGCATCCTACAAGCTTGCCAAGTACAGAGACGTACAGAAAGAGCTAGCCAACCCCCTTCCTTCCATCACAGAAGAAGAAAATAAACACTGCAACAGTTTTTCTTCTGTGAATTATATCTTTAGGAGATAATCCCAAGAGATCAATGACTAAGTCAACAGACCTGATCATATTTCTTTTTCTTCTTGTGATTTAATGCCTAAAAAAATGTAGACATGGGGATTCATAGAAGACAGGCAGCAAGACTGGGGACTATGCAAAATAGAAGGTGAGACTGAAGATGGGGAAGCTGATGCCCCAGTAGGATGAATTAGGAAAAAGCTCATTACACAAAGATCATGAGGACAGTTATCCTTCTAAATTTTAGCTCAGGGGGAAGGGATAAGCGGTATTCTTGAGGATTAAGGATCACAGTTCAAATTTATGTGGATTTAGGGCCAGAATTTCCATTATCCAAGTGAAAGCCACAGTGGCTAGCTTACCTGGTTTGGTAGCACCCAGAAGTGTCTGTCAGAAGTAAATGCAGATCCTTAATCTTCAAGTGTTCCCGCAGATGAAGGTCCAAGGGATATGAGTATATAATCAAAATCTGCAAACCACATAAGGAAACAAACCACTTCAGTGATAGAGGCAGAAGAAGCAACACAAAATAGAATCAGACGTCTAAAAACTATAGACATGAAATTATTGGATAAAATTAAGTATGTATGTGTGTGTAAGTGTGCATCTATCTATCTATCTATCTATTTATATAAAACACATGCTTTGAAAATATGATGAAGGAAAAGAAGATTATAAAGAATGACCAGGTGTAATTGGAAAAACAAAAACAAATAGAACTTCTAGAAAAATATAATAATTAAAAATAGAAGCTGAATCAGTGGATTAAACAACAGATTGTACACAGCTAAGGAGATGATTAATAAACCAAGAGAGGGAGATGACAAAATTAGCTGGATTGCATATTAAGAGATAGAGTTGTAAAATGTGAAATATTAGGAAGAGCTATAGGTAGATGACAAGGTTGTATTCTTTCACTATACTTCTTCATCCTGTATGCTGAGCAAATAATACAAGAAGCTGGGTTCTATGATGAAAAACGTGGCATCAGGATTGGAGGAAGACTCATTAACAACCTGCGATATGCAGATGATACAACCTTGCTTGCTGAAAGTGAAGAGGACTTAAAACATTTACTGATGAAGATCAAAGAGCACAGCCTTCAGTATGAATTATCTCAGTGTCAAAAAAACAAAAATCCTCACCACTGGACAAATAAACAACATTCTTATCGTTGGAGAAAAGATTGAAGTTGTCAAGGACTTCATTCTTGTTGGATCAACTAAACACTCACGGAAGCAGCAGTCAAGAAATCAAACGATGTATTGCATTAGGCAAATCTGCTGCATGAGATCTTTTTAAAGTATTGAAGAGTAAAGATGTCAGCTTGAAGACTAAGGTGCGCCTGACCTAAGCCATGGTATTTTCAATAACCTCATATGCATGTGAAAGCTGGGCAGTGAATAAGGAAGACTGTAGAAGAATTGATGCTTTTGAGTTATGATGTTGGAGGAGAATATTGAAAGTGTCATGGGCTGCCAAAAGAACCAACAGATCCATGTTGGAAGAAGTACAGCCAGAGTGCTCCTTGGAGGCCAAGATGGTCAAATTTCGTCTTTCATACTTTGGACATATTGTCAGGAGGGACCAGTTGCTGGAGAAGGATATCGTGTTTGGTAAGGTGGAGGGTCAGAGAAAAAGAGGAAGACCCCCAGCGAGATGGATTGGCCAAGTGGCAGCATCGATGGAGTCAACAGCAGTGAGGTTGGCCCAGGACCGGGCAGTGTTTTGTTCTGCTGTGCATGGGGTCGCTATGAGTTGGTACCAACTCAATGGCACCTAACAACAACAACAACATAGGTAGGCAAGATAATGCCCCATCCAAAAATGTCCCCATCCAAATTGCCATAATCTCTGAACATGTCTTGTTACGTCACAAAAGGAACTTTGGAGATGTGATTAAGGTTTGTTGGTGGTGGTAAGTGCTGTTGAGTCGATTCCAACCCATAGCGATCCTGTATAGTGTTTCCAAACTGAACCACCAACCTTGCAGTTCAAATAGCTTTGCAGTCTGGAACATTAACTCAGTGATGAAGGTTAGGAACCTTGAAATGGAGAAAGTTTCCTAGGTTATCTGGATGGACTCAAGTCTTACTGCATGAGCCCTTAACGTAGAGAACCTTCTCCAGCTGAGATCAGAGGCATGAGGTATAGAAGAGGGAAGCAGAGGAGAGATTCTAAGTGTGAAAAAGACTCAAAATGCTATTTCTGATTTTGAAAATGGGAGAAGGGAGTCATTTTCAAAGCCAGCAAGGAATGTGGGCAGCCTTGAGAAGGTGAGAATGATTTCTGTTCAACGTTCAGCAAGGAACTGAATTTGGCTAGCAAGCTGAATGAGCTGATCAGGGGGTTGTCCCCTCGAATCCCCACTAAGGAATACAATCCTACTACTTTGGACCTTGCTATGGGTCGGAAACAACTCGACGGCACTTAACAACAACAACAACAACTTTGGACCTTGATTTTGGCCTTGAGCAAATCTAATGGAGCCACCTGGATTTCTGGCCTACAGAACTGTGAGAAAATCAATTGGTGCTGTTTAATGCAGCTCAATGTGTGAGAGCAATAAAAAGGAATACAAGAAGACAGATCCAAATTCTGAGTAGATAATAGAATAGGGGAGAAGCAACATCCAAAGGCATAATGGAACAGTTTCTAGAATTGATGAAAGACAAACCCAGATTTAGGAAACCCAACACATTCTAATAAAATAAATAATACAGAATGAAGTCTAAACACATCAGAGTTACACTGCAGAACACCAAATGTAGAAGATCTTAAAGCCAAGACAAAGAGAGAAATCAGATCAACACCGATTTCTCAACAGCGTTAATGGAGGTGAGAAGAAGCTTCTTTTACTGCTTAGCGAAGTGTGAAGTAGCACAGCTACTCTGAGAAACAACTTAGTACTTTCTGACAAAGTTGGATGTGTGCATACTCTATAGGAACTCTTGCATGTGTAAAGTCAGAGATCTGTACCAGTATTTGTATAGCAGCATCGTTTTTAATTACAAAGATGTAAGTGAGGAAGCAAATGTCTATCACCCGAAGAATGGATGAACTGTAGTATATCCACAAAATGGAATATTGTTCAATTATGAAAATGCGTAGTGGTTATGAGTCGGGTTGCTAATCTCAGTCAGCAGTTCGAAACTACAGCGCTTTGGTTGGTTAAGTTGTTTGGGGATCTAGAGCACAAAGTAAAATGATAAAGAACAGCAAATTCAAATTAATGTTTCTTTTGAAGGGCGGGGGTGTTGCTGTTGTTTCATGCTGTGGAATCAGTTCTGACTCATAGTGACCCTGTTTAAGGTTTCCAAGGAGCAGCTGGTGGGTTTGAACTGCCAACCTTGCGGTTTGGTGCTGATCTTAGGTTGTAACTGAGAAGTATGCACCTAGGACAGCAAAGTTACTGATATTCTATGTCTTAACACGGCTGGTGGTTAGATAGTTGTGTAAGTGAGGGTGCAGGCTGCCTTCTGTACCGTGCCTCCCACATAACAGTTCAGAGGTGAGGGGTCAAGAGCAGGTGGGACAACACTGCTCACTCAGTGCTGTTTCTCTGGCTGCTGTGCAGTCCTTGTCCCTTCCCAGCCAGCTGGGACCAGGACAGAGTCCAGGACAAGACACTTTGTCTTTGGAATGTGACCAGGAAGATGTACACATCTCTTCCAGTCATGTGACCACACAGAGTTGCAAGGGAGGCTGGGAAATATATCCTCTGACTTGGAAGCCATGAACCCAGTTAACAAAGGGGCGTCTTAATAGGGAGAAGAGGAGAGCAGTTTGTGGTTCTGTTGCAGTGGGTGTACATTTTCTTCTTCTTTAAAGTGTATTTATATCACAGGTATTGTTTTGTGCTTGCCTTACACTTCATAATAAAAAAAAATATTAAGAGGAGGCAGCACATGTGAACTGTTATTTTAAGGAATTTTGCAAGGAAAAAGACTAGCAGGAATAGAAGATTGAGGGATTTTTTTTTTTCCTTTCATTTCGTTTCTACTTAAAAACAAGTAGTATCTATATAGGACAAGAGCAAATTCGAGAACATTAGAGAGGAAGAAGGCCAGGCTCCAGTCCTAGATGATCAAAAGAACAAGGAGGAATAGCCCAGAGGAGGGAGCCTCACAAGGGAGCTGGGACAATTTGTCCCCTGAGCTGGGAGCACTTGGACCCTCTGAACTGTGAAACCCAGCACCCAGTATGGTGTAGTGCCGTGTGGATCACTTTCATTGGCAGCAGGAAGCATGCGCTTTTCTGTGGTACCCTCCCTCCAGCCCCCTAAGCCCCCCAGCATAGTGCCAAGTGCCATCCTGAGAAAAGGTATCTTACTCTGACTGAACTGAGTTTACTGCTGACATATTTATGTGAGATCCCATAGTCAGAGGTTGAGGCTGCTTGAGGTCATGAAGATTTTTCTTAACATCTAACTAGTTTTCTTATCTTAGATTTAAAGGTACAGTTGAAGAACTCAGTAATCAGATTTTATCAGCACGGAATTGGTTGCAACAGGAACAAGAACGGATAGAAAAAGAACTTTTACAGAAAATTGACCAGCTTTCCTTGGTTGTTAAAGAAATCAGTGTAAGTATTGATGTTTCACAATAAAATAGTGAAGTTACTCAGTGGGGGCTTACAATGTTTGAATATGATGTGGTAATTTATCATTTATTTAGGGAGTCCTGGTGTGGTGCTGTGGGCTAATGCATCAGACTGCAAAGTCATTTGAACTGCAAGGTCGGTGATTCAAGCTACCCCAGCTACTTCTTGGAAACCCTATACATTATCGACTCAACAGCACTTAACAACAACAACAACAGCAAAAGTTCCTTAGGAGTCCTGGTGTGGTGCTGTAAGATAAAGGACTGGACTGCTAGGTCAATTTGAACCACAAGATTGGCAGTTCAAATTCACTAGCCACTTCTTGGAAACCATACATAGGGTGGCTGTGAATCGGAGCCAACTTGATGGCTCTTAACAGCAGCAACACCAAAGCTCTTTAATTGTTTCTTCCCTCCAAACCCATTTCCATAGTTCATATTGATTCTTTGAATTCTTTATAGCGAAATAGAAGCACTTTAACTTATTTTGGTTTTCAAAGACTAGGTAGACAGAAAACTTGAGTACTTTCAGCCATGATGAATTCATGTCAAATACTTAATGATCCAAATTGAACATCTACATTTGTAAATAAGACTGACAGTTATGAACTCCATCCTTTGTTGTCACTGTTAAGTGCCTTCTGATCGGTTTTGACACATGGTGACCCTGCATAGGATTTTCAAGTAGCGGCTGGTGGATTTGAACTGCTGACCTTGTGTTTAGCAGTCCAGTCCTTACCCTACAGCGCCACATCAGGACTCCGAACTTCATTTGTGTTAAGTTTATGATTTGGGTTTTGCTTTTGGGCCAGTGTTGAACAGACTTCTCTCTCCAGAACTCTCCATCACATTACACAGTGTGAAGCATCACAGCACAACTCATCAACCGAGCTCCCCTTATCTTTTCCCCTTTCCTCTCCTTCCACCCCAGTTCCCAGCAGAAGTAAACTGAGTACCAGCAAGAGAGACTTGTCATACCAGAGCCCTTCTACAGCCAGTGTTTGCAGTCCTGACCTCCTCAGCTTGCTCACAGACACCGATGCCCATAAAACCAAGCACAGGGGGAAAGGAATTATTTCCCTTTTTAGTATGCTCCTAAATTTTCATCAGGTCTACTGCATGATTTAGGAGTCCTGGCAGGGTGCTATAGGATAAAGCACCGGACCTCAAGGTCAGTTTGAACTGCCAGGTTGGCGGTTCAAACGCACCAGCCACTCCTTGGAAACCCTATACAGGGTTGCTACGGATTGGAACCGACTCCATGGTATTTAACAACAACTGCATGTTCCAGCTCATAGCGACCTTGTGTAGGGTTTCCAAGGCTGTAAATTTTTACTGGAACAGAAAGTCTCATCTTTCTCCTTCTCATGGAGTGGCTGATGGACTCAAACTGCCAACCTTGTAGATCATAGTCCAGTGTTTATCCTACAGAGCCACTGCACTCCCCATGACTTTTTTTGTTGTTGTTAAGTGCCATCAAGTTGGTGTCAATTCATAGCAACCCTATATAGGGTTTTCAAGGAATGGCTGATGGGTTTGAACTGCCAACCCTGACATTAGCATTCTAGTGCTTATCCTACAGTACTGCACTGGGATTCCAAAACTGGTGGAGGTACCAGGGAATGACTTACTTGGATCTATATTAATACATACTTAGCTTTTTACATCTTTGGATTATTATGTATTCTTATACCTGGATTGGTTTAATAATTAATAGTAATGATAGCTCATTTGTTTTTCACATAAAATAAATATGAATGTGTGTCGTTCAGAGCTGATATAATATGGCAGCTTGTTGGAACTCAGCAAGCCAGGCTTGTTCTACTAAATTTTTTGTCAGCCTTACAGAGTGACTTTTGGCCTCATAGTTGAAGATAGTTGCTAGAACTCCAGTTATGACCTCTGAATTCCAGAAACAGGAGGAAGAAAGGAAAGTTATGACCAAGCTTCCTGGAAGCTGCCACATATACTTGTCCTTACATATCACTGGCTAGTACATAGTCACATGGCCACACCAAATTTAGGAGACTGTAAAAAGTATGAGTCTAATCTGTACTATCAGTGACCTGGGAGAATGGATGTCAGGGTGGGCAGCTAGCAGCCTTTGCAACTCTGTTCCTAGAAGATTGCTGTTAAATTCTTTTCTGGCTGATGTGAATACAATGTAGACTTCCTTTTTAGAGTAACCAATTGTAATTCTTCTGATGGTTCTCAGGGAGCCAGTGAGAGAGACGTGGAGAAGAAGCTCAGCCAGATGTCAGCCAGACTTGACAGAATCGAAGAGACTCAAAAGAAGACCCTGGAAGTACAGAGAACAAAGCAAGAAGAGGAGAAGGTTCATGGACGGATCAACAAGCTTGAGTTACAGATGAACGAAGATATAAAGGATGTGAAAGCAGAAGTTAACGATGGTGGGTCAAAAAGAAGAGAGCTCGCATGGTTTATTTTCTGTTTGATTGAAAAAAACCTACTAATTCCTATGAACCTGAATAGTGGTAATAATATTGGAATAGCCTTAGATGATTTTCTAAGTAGCTATGGTGCATTGATTTAAATGCTGTTTGATAATTCGAATTACATGAAGAGTCACCATGAGGGAAACGCAAACAAAACAAAAATGTCTTAGTTTGCAACTCCTGTTCTTTTCTTTACTGCCATCTACCAATTCTTTTCTGAGACATACTGATCTTGGTAAGATGTACTGATAAGCATACACTTTTGCAGGGCTTTGGCGGGCCTATTTTGTACTGTTGGCAGTACACCTCCCTGGCAATGAATGGTTTTTCCCTACTCAGAAGTCAGCCAGGCCCAAGAATTCACACATGCAGTGAGGGAAATGCTAGAACTGATTTCAAGTCTGGAAATTCTGTTATATAAAAGAGGGATCATATTTATATTTACACTCTGTGCTCAAGAATGTATACCTGGGACCAGTAAGTGGAAGTTCCCTGAAGACAGACAGAAGTGTCTTACAAATAATACATCCTAACAAAGAAGCTAGTGGCTTTGTGAGTTGATGAGCTCTTTCCTTAGTGAAAGTCTTCAAGTGGAGACTGGTTGAGCAGGGAAGAGAAGACAGTTTTGTAGTATGAAAAGTTTGACTAAATTATTGCCTGGTGGTAGTGGCTGTTGTGTGCCATGTAGTCAATTCTGACTCATAGTGACCCTGTATAAGGTTACTGAGGCTGTACATCTTTACAGGAGCAGAAAGCCTTATCTTTCTCCTGAGGAGCAGCTGGTAGATTCAAACTGCTAACCTTGCAATTGGCATTCCAACTTGTAATCCACTATGCTACCACGCCTCACTTTATATTATTACCTTTTCTTTCTGTTGTTAAGTGCTATCAAGTCAGTTCCGACCCATGGTTGTTGTTAGGTGCCATCGAGTTGGTACCGACTCATAGCAACCTTATGCACAGCAGAACGAAACACTGCCCAATCCTGGGCCAACCTCACTAGTGTTACCACTCTTGAATCTATCGATGCTGCCACTTGGCCAATCCATCTTGTTGGAGGTCTTCCTCTTTTTCTCTGACCCTCCTCCTTACCAAACATGATATCCTTCTCCAGTGACTGGTCCCTCTTAATAATGTGTCCAAAGCATGAGAGATGAAGTTTGGCCATCTTGGCCTCCAAGGAGCACTCTGGCTGCACTTCCTTCAAAACGGATCTATTGGTTCTTTTGGCAGTCCATGGCACTTTCAATATTCTCCTCCAACACCATAACTCAAAAGCATCAATTCTTTTATGGTCTTCCTTATTCACTGTCCAGCTTTTGCATGCATATGAAGTTATTGAAAATACCATGGCTTGGGTCAGGCACACCTTAGTCCTCAAGCTGACATCTTTGCTCTTCAACACTTGAAAAAGGACTTGTGCAGCAGATTTACCTAATGCAAATCGTTTGATTTCTTGACTGGTGCTTCCATGAGTGTCGATGGTTGATTCAAGAAGAATGAAGTCCTTGACAACTTCAATCCTTTCTCTGTTGATAAGAATGTTGTTTATTGGTCCAGTGGTGAGGATTTTTGTTTTCTTTCATTGAGATGTAATCCATACTGAAGGCTGTGCTCTTTGATCTTCATCAGTAAATGTTTTAAGTCCTCTTCACTTTCAGCATCAAGGTTGTATCATTTGCATATTGCAGGTTGTTAATGAGTCTTCCTCCAATCCTGATGCCACGTTTTTCTTCCTAGAACCCAGCTTATCGCATGATTTGCTCAGCATACAGGTTGAAAAAGTATGGTGAAAGAATACAACCCTGTTGTACACCTTTCTTAATTTTTACCATTCAGTGTTCCTATGTTCTGTTCAAACAACTGCCTCTTGGTCCATGTGCAGATTCCTCATGAGCATGTGTTCCGGAATACTCATACTTCACAATGTTGTCCATAGCTTGTTATGATCCACACAATTGAAGGCCTTTGTGCAGTCAATAAAGCACAGGTAGACATCTTTCTGATATTCTCTGCTTTCAGCCAAGATCCATCATACATCAGCACTGATATCCCTCATTCCATGGCCTCTTCTGAATCCGGCTTGAACTTCTGGAAGTTCTCTGTCAATGTATGCTTGCAGCCGTTTCTGTATTAATTACCTTTAGTAAAACTTTACTCACATGGGATATCAAAGAGATTGTCCAATGATTTCCGCATTCCATTGGGTCACCTCTCTTTGGAATGGGCACAAATACGGATCTCTTCCAATCAGTTGGCCAAATAGTTGTCTTCCAAATTTATTGTCAGAGATGAATTCGTGCCTCCTGTACTGCATCACTTTCTTGAAAGATTTCAATTTTTATTCCATCAGTTCCTGGTGCCTTGTTCTTTCCCAATTCCTTCAATGCACCTTGGACTTCTTCCTTCAGTATCATTGGCTCTTGATCATATGCTACCTCTTGAAACAGTTGAACATGAACCATTTCCTCTTGGTACAGTGACTCTGTGTATTCCTTCCATCTTCTCTTGATGCTTTCTGCATCATTCAATAATTTGCCCAGAGAATCTTTTAATACTGAAAGTCGAGGCTTGAATTTTGTCTTCAGTTCCCCCAGCTTGAGAAATGCTGAGCATGTTCTTCCTTTTTGGTTTTCTGATTCCAAACCTTTGCACATTTTATGGAATTTTTGGCTTTATCTTCTTGAGCTGATCTTTGAAATTTTCTGTTCAGCTCTGTACCTCCTCATTTCTTCCATATTCTTTAGCATCTCTATGCTGGAGAGCAAGTTTCAGTGTCTCTTCTAACATCCATTTTGACCTTTTCCTCTTTCTTGTCTTCTTTATGACTTTTTGCTTTCTTCCTGTATGATGTTCTTGATGTCATCCCACAACTCTTCTGGTCTTCGGTCTTTAGTATTTAATGTATCAAATCTGTTCTTCGTATGATCTCTAAATCCGGGTGGGATATATTCAAGGTCATATTTTGGCTCTCGTGGATTTGTTTTCATTTTCTTCAGCTTCAGTTTGAATTTGCATATGAGTAATTGATGATCTGTTCCAAAGTCTGCCCCTGGCCTTGTTTTGTCTGATGGTATGGAGCTTTTACATAATCTTTTTCTGCAGATGTAGTCATTTGATTTCTGTGTATTCCATCTGGTGAGGTCCATGTGTATAGTTGTCTCTTATGCTGTCTAAAGAAGGCATTTGAAATGAACAAATCATTAAATTTGCAGAATTCTATCATGCGATCTCCATCATCATTTCTATCACCAAGGCCATATTTTCCAACTACTGATCCTTCTTCTTTCCTTCCAACCTTTGCATTCCAATCACCAGTAATGATCAATACATCTTGATTGCATGTTTGATCAATGTCAGATTGAAGAAGCTGGTAGAATTCTTCTATTTCATCCTCACTGGCTTTAGTGGTTGGTGTGTAAATTTGAATAATAGTGGTATTAACTGGGCTTCTCTGTAGTCACATGGATATTATCCTATCACAGACAGCGTTTTATCCCATGACTGATCTGGATATGTTCTTTTTGACAATGAATGCAACACCATTCCTCTTCAATTTGTCATTTCTGGCATAGTAAACCATTAAGTCATCAGGTTCAAAATGGCCAATACCAGTCCATTTCAAATCACTAATGCCTAAGGTATCGATGTTGATGCATTCCATTTCATTTTTGACAACCTCCAATTTTCCCAGAGTCATACTTTGAGCATCCCATGTTCTGATCATTAATGGATGTTTACAGCTGTTTCTCTTCATTTTGAGTTGTGCCCCATCAGCAAATGAAGGTCCTGCGGGCTTTTCTCCCACGGGCTTTTCTGTATTCGCATCATCACGGTCAGCTCTACTTTGAGGAGGCAGCTCTTCCCCAGTCACATTTTGAGTGCCTTCCAACCTGAGGGGATCATATTCCAACACTATAGAATCTCCAAAACCAACTTTGCATTCCAGCGCCACATTAACCTGCAGTCATAATTTATGAATTAGAGAATTTCTGAAGATAAAAATGAATTCTCTTTCTTGGTCTTTTAGGCCATTTGAACATGGCATTTGAATATTTTATCAATGTTTAACTTTTCATCATTTGTTGAATGAATTTATTGTCCTGTAATCAGTATACTATTGAGATTGTTAGTACTATAATAAGAAATGTGTTGCCAAGTACCATTGAGTCGGTTCTGACCCATAGTCTTATATATATATATTTAAAAAAAGCATTTATTCTTCATACTAAAAAAAAACAAACCCAAAAACATTTTAAAACAGAAATTCAAAAGACACAGAGTATTTTAAAACATTCTAATGCTTCTTATGTAGAGATAGTTTTGACACATGTATTTCTATCCATATAGGGTGTATATACAAAGTCCAGCTGTGGTGCTTTGGGTTCATGCACTGGACTATAAGGTCAGTGGTTCAAGCTTACCAGCTGCTCCTTGGAAGACCCTATGCAGGGTTGCTATGAGTCTAAACCAACTCAATGGCGCTTAACAACAACAAGGGTATATATGTACTTTTAAACTTATTACTATGTTGTATCTTTCCATGTCAGTAAGAACATTATTTTTAGCAAGTCATTTTTACACTTTTTTTTTTTTTTATGAGGTTTTGCATAAGGACATTTTTTCTGAGAGAAAATTCTAAATTTGCTAATGAAAGTCAGACTTTTAAAAACATTTATTTTAGGAACCATAGAAATACAAAATAATAGGAAATGCTTTCTCATGGGGAATTTTTCTTTCTTTAATTTTTTATTTTGAAATAATTTCAAATTTAAGAAAGCTACAAGCATAGTGAAAAAACAACCCCAAAACCTATGTATCTTTCACCTTGTTGTTGAGTGCTGACAAATCAGTTCTAACCCATTATGACCCTGTATAGATAGGGTTTCTGAGGAGCGACTGGTGAGCTTGAACCACTGACCTTACATTTCAAACCGACTTAGCTGCCTGATGCATTAGCCCACAGTGCCACCCCTGACTCATCCTTCACCTAGATTCCCATTTATTAACATTTTATGTGTTTGCTTAATTTCATCCTGTGTATGTGTGTGTATCAGGGTTGTTTTTTTTTTTTTTGCAGAATCATTTGGAAGTAAGTTTCAGAAGTCACGTCTGTTTCCGTCTTTCTGACTTTAATATGTGTAGCTCTGGTAGCATAGTGGTTATGAACTGGGCTGCAAACCTCAAGGTCAGCAGTTTGAAACTACCAGCTGCTCTGCTGGAGAAGGATGAGGTTTTCTGCTCCCATAAAGATTTACAGGCTCGGGAACCCTGTACAGGATCGCTATGAGTCTGAACCGACTGCACGGCACGGAACCACCAAGTATAAGGATATTCTATTAAATAACAATAGTACAACGTGATGTCGATGAATATTTTTCAATATTCAGCTTTCGCCAATTGTTTCATGTGTTTTATAGCAAACCTTCCCTGTACACAATCTAATATGCATTACATATGACATTTAGATATGTTTCTTCGGTTAATCCTCAGTGATATTGGCATTTTTTTAAAAGGCTGTAGACCAGTGTTTTGTAAAATGTCTCTCAGTTTGGTTTAATTTGATTCCTTTGGCTTAGATTCAGGATATGCATTTTGGACAGAAATACCTCTAGAAATACTATCTTATCAGTAGGTACATGATGTTGGTGTCTCCCGGTATTGGTGATCCAGTTTTGATCACTTGGTTAAGGTGGTATCTACCAGACTTCTCTATTGCAATGGTTCTGTTTTGCTCTTTTTTAATTAAAAAGCAACCTGCAAGGAAATACTGGATAAATGTTCTATTCTCCATCTCACTTGTACCCTGGTAGTTGTAGCATTTATGGCTAAACCTTGCTAGAAGCAGTTATTACTATGTTGTTGTTTTTGAATGCCATCGAGTTGATTCTGACTCATAATAACCCTGTGTAGGCTTTCCAAGGAGCAGCTAGGTTTGAAGTGATAACCTTGCAGTTAGAAGTCCAATGCTTATCCTACAACACCACACCACGACTCCAGTTACTACTATATGTGGTGGAATTTGACACGGTATTTTGCAATATTAACTCTTGTGAAATTTACCTCTTCTTAAAGGATTTGCAGCCATCTATGAAAGCATCGGATCCCTCCGACAAGTTCTTGAAGCCAAGATGAAGCTGGACAAGGACCAGCTCCAGAAGCAAATCCAACAGATGCAGAAGCAGGAGGCACCAGTGTGAGCAGAATTGGAACAAGGACCTAAAAGAAGGTTTTGCCAGTGGGACGAGGAGCTCTATATAGCCAGACTGTCTCTGCATTCTGGACTGTTCCATCCATGGCGTGCATGTGCCAAGTAATGTGTTTCCATGGGTCTAAATGTTTACCTTGAGTCTTAAAAACACTTTCTTTAAAGTTCTTAAAGGTAGTTTTTACATTTTATTTCAATTGTCTAAACCGTTTAAATGGAATTTTTGCCCCCTGGATTTTGAGACTTTGATCCCCTTCATGTTATGAATGAAAAGACTTCTGTTGTCTTTAATGCTTGATGTTCTAGCCCACACCGTTTCCTATTTTTAAAATGTCATGGTGATTTTTTTTTTTTTTTAGATTAGAAAGCTAATGAGTTGTCACAAGAATGTTGTTCCTTCCCCTAAATTTAAGTGAATGTCCCAATAAGTTAGATTTCAACTTTTGAGTCCATATTTGGATTTTATGATTATTTCCTCAAATTTCTTATATCGGTTTTCTTCCTGTACAACTTCTGTCTTTTGTAAGGGGGAATGGATTTAATAATTGGGATAAAAAACTTCTTGTAATTTATGAAATGAAAATAGTGTAAAGGATTGATAACTGTCATATAGATTGCAAATGCAAATGGACACTTCGGGCAATTCTCTAGAGAACTGCACCGTCCACCTAGATACACTGGCTTTTAATATTTAAAACTAGTTTTCAATTTTCCATAGCCTGTATAGTAAGAGCCATATATTTACTAATGAAATGGTGGTTAACAATCTGTTTATTGCACAATTAAGTGTTCACTGACTATACTGGGCTGTGCAACTTTTCCAGGCTTTATGATCTCCTCTCTAAATGTTTCCAAAATTGGCACAAAGTGCTAGGGTCTATATACACTTGTAACTATATTCCTGTGCCTTGGTTTTATCATGTTGATACACTGTACCCTAGGGAAGTTTTGCAGACAAAATAGAAGGCATGATAATACATCAGGATTATGATGTCAAAACGGGATCCTATGTATTTTTTAAATGTCTTAAAAGTTTTATCATTGTTCAGATATGAATTGTTCAGTATTACCAATGGGTTAGAAATTCATACTTTTGTATGGACTGAGACTCAAATTGATAATGCATTTATAACATTGTCAAGAAACTTTCATCTTGAGCAACTTTGTAGCTGATGGGTGTCTGTTATTTTCCACCGCCATCTTGGATGAGTCTGAAAATCGGTCCCTGTGCTGTTCACCTGTGTATGGAGAAACTGACAGTGAGGCACACTGTTCTAAACTGGGAAGGTACCCCAGGACAAAGAAAAATAGGAATGCATAAAAGAATTTTTAAACACTTTGTTTTTTGTTTGTTTGCCAAGGACTCAGGAAAATAAAAGCATTTTCTATTTTTAGGATAAATCATTACTGAAATATCGAACTGGCTATATTACTGTTTACCCACATAAAACATGCTGCTAAAAGTACAACGTAATTTTACCCGCTTTGGTTTGACAAAAAAAAAAAAAAAAGAACATAAAATTTGATTTCAGAGATTAAATAAGGAATACATCATCTAACACATATTTTATTTTATTTTATTTTTCTTTTGCCATGCATCTTTTCATCTCTGTATAGGAAAAATATTTTCAGTTAGCCACGAAAACAAAAGGTGAATGTTCTCTTGCAATCAGAAATGACTTCCTTTTTTTTTGTGCTAGAGTGACTCTATTCAGTGCAAGTGTCCAGATTTGAGCACAAGCCACAGCCTCCCCCACCCCCCGTGTCTTTCTGCTTCTGGGTCTCTGCGGAGGAAGCTCAGCACACCTGACACCTGGGAAGAGAGGAAGGGAGAACACCAGCTGGCATGGCAGGGTCAGGAGTGATGGTGATGGTGGTGTGAGCTGGTGATGCATGGCAGTCAGTGGAAGTTCTCAGGTGCTTCTGATATCCCACCCCTTCCTGTGAGCTATCACAGCCCCTTTCCCCCACCCCGCCCCCACTACATAATAAAACCCCATGGGGAGTTTAAAAAGCTGGCCATGCCTTGGCCAAACCCAGTCCAATGAAATCCCTATCAGAGGGCTGGGATGCAGGCATGAATGTATTTGAAAGCCCTCCACCCATACCCCAGGTGATTCAGTGTGCAGCCAAGGTTGCCAGTCACTGATCTACAGCCTCCTCTTATCACCAAAGTTTAAACAAGAGAATCAGTTTCCATGTTCTTTCCTTTACCAAGAATTTGCAATAAAATGAATAAAATGATCAAATAAACTTGGTGTGTGATATTTAAATGTAGACATGTTAGTATGAGATGAAGACTTAATTAGGTAAAATGCCCTAGGAAACATTCTTCATTTTCTTATTGTGGTGTAGGAGGGGCTGGCCCTTCAGTGAAGGGTCCTTGTCCTTGCTGACCAAGAATGATCAAGTTAGACAGTTTCACACGATCAAAAAATGTATTGAAAGGACAAGATCTGACCAGAGGAGATGAGGCGGGCTCTAGGCAATGCTACCCCTGCTTTCCCGACCAGAGGCTGCGCTGGGGTTTAGAAGGTTTTAGACTGGAGGAGACTATTGAAAGTGTCATGGGCTGCCAAAAGAACCAATAGATCTGTGTTGAAAGAAATGCAGCCAGATTGCTGCTTGGAGGCCAGGATGGCCAAACTTCGTCTCTCATATTTCAGACATATTATCAGGAAGGATCAGTCTCTGGAGAAGGATAGATATCATGTTTGGTAAGGTGGAGGGTCAGAGAAAAAGAGAAAGACCCCCAGCGAGATGGATTGACAAAGTGGCAGCATCAATGGGCTCAAGTGTGGTAACAATTGTGAGGTTAGCCCAGGACTGGGCAGTATTTTGTTCCGTTGTGCATGGGGTCACTAAGAGTCGGTACCAACTTGATGGCACCTACCAACAACAACAGCTGGTGAGAATAGATACTATGTTTAGTCATATGGATAAGCAGGAATTTCCAGAAAATGATAAACATCGGACTACTAACTACTAACAAAGCAGTTCAAACCTAGCTAGCTGCTCCTCGGAAACCCTGTACAGGATTGCTATGAGTCAGAACCAACTCTACAGCACATCAACAACATGCTAATTAGGTGTGTGAGCAGCACTTCTTTAAGATGGATTCTATAGCAAAGGCCTGTCGTAGGGACAGACAAAACCTATTCTGGAATATTGAGTAGGCGTAAATCTTTGGGACTCCGATTCAAACTCCGCCCAGAGGCTGGTGGTCTCCTCTGCCCCCAGCAGAAGGTGTCCTTTAAAGTTGTGTCTAGGGTACTGGGTAAACCAGCGTGGCTTGTAAAACATCTAACAAGGTAGTAAACGACAGCATTTTTATGGCTATCCATGATCCAGGATGTGGCTGTTCAGCTGTATGCCCTGAGCATGCCCATGCTCAAGCAAGGAGGCACACAGGCCTTGATATTCTTAAAAAGTTTCAGTGTTCCTGTTTAATTGCTTTCTGAATCCCTTCTTCTCCTGCCTCATTTTCTGTGGTTGAGACACAATGCCCAAAGTCCTAGCAGGCCCTCTGGAAAGCCGTCAGGGGCTGCTTCCTCCAGAGCCGCTGGTACCTTCTCTGCTTCTGCAGCCTGGCCTTTTCAGATTATGCACCATGTGCCAGACACCGCGCTGTCTTCCATGTGTGTGTCAACTCATTTCATCCTCAGGGCAACTAGTTCCGAACTACTTGTACTTAAGTACGTCCTAGAGGTTAATTAACCTGCTCCAAACCCCACGTCTAATAAGTTCAATCATGACTTATACCTGGCAGCCTTCTTCCATAGTCTGGAAACATAACCAGCATACTAAACTATAT